GTACCGTCTCGCTCTGCCTCCCACTTATGAATGCCATGACGTTTTCCACGTTTCACAGCTAGTTCCCCACCGCCCCCGCCCTCCCGCTTTGGTTCCCTCGGCAGCCGACGCTGCCTGGCCTCCTATCCACGATGCAGCAGGCAATCCCACAGATGAATACGAAGTCGACTATATTATGGACCAACGCGGCTCGGGAGATGCAGCCCAATACCTTGTGGAGTGGCGCGGGACCCCTGAAGAGCAAGCCACATGGGAACCAGCTAACCACCTTACCGGCTGCCCGGCTTTGCTTCGCGCTTGGCGCCGCCGCCAACGAAGACGTCTTCAGGCTCGAAACAACATTGGCCCTTCCGAAACGTAGCGGTATGGCTCCCTCATATTCCACCTCCTCCAGCTCGGGCACCCTTCAATGAGGAGGGGTGGGAGAGAGCGCTGCGCATGGCGCGCGCTCACGGCGTTAGCTTTCGACGAGCACAGAGAGTGAAAAGGCAAAAATAATGCATTTTGGGGTAGGTCACTTCAGTCCGGCAAGGGGGGAAGTTGTAGTGCACAGACACTACAAGGGGGCTGGTTAGTGCTCTAGAGAGGATAGCTAGCCAGCGACCTACGAGGGGTCGCAAGACTGGAGGGAGACAGGGCCCTCTTACCAGACAAAAAGTAAGAGAAAGTGATTATATTTTATATGCACACGTGAATTCGTGGAATTGCGTGGAGACTGGGGCTGGAGACAGCGCCGGCGCCAAGAGCAAGCCTCCCTCCCTTAGGGACTAGGAGGCGAGCTCCCAGGAGGGTGCGAAACAGACAGACAGATTTGAGAAACTCATGAATTTGTATTCATAATCGCAATAGCTGTAGTTTCTAGGAAATGGACTTGCGTAGGGTGCGGTCTATAGGCCCTGCCCAAGGGACTGAAAGCACGTAGTCGCAGCTGCGGGCGCAGTGCACTACAGAACTAGCTGCGAAACGTGGAAAACGTTATGGCATTCATAAGTGGGAGGCAGAGCGAGACGCTAAGCGACAGTGCCTATGCGTTCGATGACTTCGAAGGGTCCGCGGTAACGGGGCTCGAACTTAGGGCAGCTGTTGAAAGGCGGTAGGTGCTTGCTGCTGAGCCAGGCCTTGTCTCCCACCGCATACTCCACTGTTCGGCGATTTGTGTCTGCGTAGTACTTCTGCTGCCATTTCGCCTTCAGGATGTGACTCTGTGCTCGGTTGCAGAGCTGTCGGAAAAGCGTAGTCATCGGAGGAGTGACCATAGGAGCTAACGCGCCGACGATATCAAGGTCCGCAGCAGTCAACGGGTTCTCTCCAACCATGACCTCGAAAGGAGAGAGCTCTGTGGATGAATGGCTTGTTATGTTGTAGGCAAGTTCCAAGGCTGGAAGCAAACGCTCCCACTCGCGTTCATCAGATCTGATATATGTACGCAGCATCTGCTCCAGTGTGCGGTTCACCCGTTCAGTTTGGCCGTCGCTTTGGGGATGGTAGGACGAGGGCATGCACCGTTTGATGTTGAAGCGGCGACAGAGCTGGTTCCAAAGGTCTGATTGGAAACGGGGGTCGCGATCCGATATAAGCACTTCTGGGAAACCGTGATCGCGGATAAGGCGGTCTGCGAGAAGCTCCACGGTGTCTGCTGCTGTGAATGACTTTTTTGCAGGAACGAAATGAGCCATCTTGCTGAGGGAGTCGACCATGACAAGGATCGAGTCGTGCCCTGTCGTTGTAAGGGGAAGATCTGTGATAAAGTCGAGACTCACGTGCGCCCATCGACGAGAAGGGATGAGCAACTGTTGAAGGAGGCCTGCAGGCTTCTGGTTAATAGACTTTGACGCTCGACAGTGGGTACATGACTCAACATACGCAGTAGTGTAGGCGCGCATTCCTGGCCAGTAGTACTGCTTGCTGAGAGCCGCAAAGGTCTTCTTCTGGCCTTGATGGCCGGCTGTAACATGGTCGTGATACGAATGCAGAACGTGAGTAAGGAACTCAGGGAATTGTGGGACGCAGATACGACACAGTCCATGAACGCGGATGTGCAGGTAAGGCTCTACGTAGCGAAAGGTAAATTGGCGATTACAAAACTCGATTTGCAGAGCTTCTCCTGGTTGGTTTGCTGCGGCTTTGTAGGGAACGCGAAAAACAGGACACTTCGAGCAAGTTTGCGGCCAATGGCGCACATCAGGAGGGTCAGCTGGTGGCTTCGTTGTGAGTGTAAGAGGTTCCGGCTCTGGGTTGGGTTCCGGCGGCGCAGATGAAGGCGCAGACGGCATGCTCCGTCGTCTAGGTCGGCGCGGACGAATTCCGGCGAGCTCTCAGTAGTTGGGAGGCCGACCACAGGAGCGGGGAGCCGCGCTCGCTTGTCCTATTGCGAGCATCAGCGGTACCGATGGTGTGTCGTGTGAGCAGGTGTTAGGAAGGCCGGGACGGCGAGACAAGGCGTCGGCAACTTGATTGCGCGCGCCTTGAACATACGTGAAGTGCAAATCCGGGAACTCCGCAGGAAAGTCTAGCCACCGGGCGGTGCGCCCGCGGAGAGGCTTCGATGCTTGGAGTCGTTGGAGATGGGTGAGAGCTTGATGATCAGTGTAAGCCGTTACCTTGGATACCCGGACCAAGTGCGACCACTTGTCCAGTGCCATGACCAACGCCAAGAGTTCCTGATCGTAGATCGAGTATCTCCGTTGCGCGTGGCGTTCATGACTTGGCTGAGGAAGCCGATGGGGTTTACCGTCTTGTTCGAGAACTGCTCCGATCGCATAACCAGAGGCATCTGTGTATAACTCGAAGGGTTTCGTCGTCTGGACTTGTAATGTAGTGAAATCGATTAAGCGCTGTTTGAGCTGCCGCACCGCTTGCGTATGAAGCTCTGTCCATTCGAAACTGACGTCTTTACGCGAAAGATCAACCAGCGGCCGGGCAACGTCTGCATAGTCCGGTCCCATGAACATGCGACAGTAATTTATGGTACCGAGGAACTGGCGCACTTGCGTTTCGTTCTCCATTACCTCTGGCCAATGCCGGATGGCTGCGATTTTATCTTCTGCGGGTTTGATCCCCGTAGCAGAAACGGTATTACCCAAATATGTAATTGTTTGCCTTGCAAATTTGCATTTGCGGAATTTCGGGTAGAACGGGGGTCTAAGAAAAATGCTTAGGACTTGTCGCAGGAGAGAAATGTGCCCAGAGAGATCGGAACTATAGATAAGTACATCATCTAGGTACGCAATAACGCCCTGTCCCAATAAAGGTTGTAGATAGGCATTAATATTGGCCTGGAACGTAGCGGGAGCACCCTAAAGGCCGAAGGGCATCACGCGGTACTCGAATAGTCCGAGAACGGACAGGAAAGCCGTCTTCCACCGGTCTTCCTTAGCAATACGTATTTGGTGGAATCCTGCTTCAAGATCCAAGGTGGAAAAACACTTGGCGCCTCCCAGCAGCTCCAGAATGGTTTGAATGAGAGGTAGTGGAAAATCAGGGGCTATCGTAAGGGTATTTAGAGCCTGGTAATTGACAACCATACGCATCTTTTGCTCCCCGGAACCATCGTCACGTTTGTCCACCATGATCGTAGGAGAGCAAAAAGGAGAATAGGTCGGTCCGATCCAACCACTGTCCGATAATTTAGCTATCTCCTGTTTGTGGAATGTGATCTGGGGTCATACGGTATATTGCAGATCTATCTGGAAGTTTTATAGGCGCAAGGAGAATATGGTGAACATGAGGGCACTTCGGCGGTAATCCTTTAGGTAGGGTATCGGGAAAAACCGCTCGATACTCGTGCAACACCTGGGCAACCTCACATGGAATATCCTGCGCCTCTGGCGAAGTTATCCATTCGTCGAACAGAGTGTGCTCGAGTTTTGCCATAGGCCAGGGAGACTCCTCGTCACTCTCCGCTGCCACCGAGGCGGTTGAGGCCAAAGGACTACGCCAGCCGGAGGACCTGGGTTGATTCCCAATTAACGCTCAACAAAGCGTGCCTTGCCATTCATCCGAGAGCCTTAGGGGCACTGCCGAACCGGTTTCGGGCAAAGCCAGTATGAGATGCAAACCGTGCAATGGAGTCCTGAGATCATTTATCGGGAAATACCGCTCGGTACTCGTGCAACACTTGTGGTATCTCCTGGGGGATATCCTGCGCCTCTGTCGAATGTATCCATGCGTCAAACAGAGTGTGCTCGAGTTGTGCCTGAGGCCAGGGGGACTCCTCGTCACTCTCCGTCGTCCCCGCGACGGTTATGGCCGAAGGACTATGCCAACTGGAGGACGCGGGTTGCGTCCCGATTAACGCGCAGCAAAGTGCGCCTTGCCACTCATCCGCGAGCCGTAGGGGCATTGCCGGACCGGCTTCGGGCAAAGCCAGTATGAGGTGCAAACCGTGCATTGGGGCCTTGAGATCCTTTGTGTCCGCAGCTGCTTGACGAACGAGCGACGTTATCCGCGCCTTCGCCTTCTTCTTCGCGTGGGGTTTATACCGCCTTGAAGGTGGGCGTAGGAATATAGCTGCCTCCTCGGCTGACATACCCGCCACTTGTTTGGCCAATATCTCATATGCTTGCTCTGCTGGGGTCCTTGGGTGGACTACGGTGGGAATATCACGTTGCAGCGTTGCTTCACCAGTCCGAACGACCGGTAACTCGCACCACTGGCCATTCACATAGTGTCGGAGTTTGTCAGACTGGAAATACCAGGCCACCTTGTGTTCCGTCAGCCAATCCAAACCCACGACTAAATCGTAGGGAACGGGTCCCACTAAAAAGTCCCCGGAAAAACGTGTATGTCAGCACCACAGCGTCAATCCCGTAACAACCCGATCAATGCGTAGTTGTGAACCTGTAGCTATGGTGAACCTATGTTCTTTTGGAAGTCTCCGCACTTTCAGCTGCAGTCGTTCGACTATTTTAGGACTAATGAAACTTCTCAAAGCCCCAGTGTCCAAGAGGGCCTCACAAGGACTCCCTGCGAACTCAGCGGCAAGTACCGCCGTCGCACCCGCACAACACAACGCTCCCCCTTGGTCGTAAGACTCCTTCGTGCAAGTCTCCCTCCACCAGTGTGGCACAATCTCTGTAGCGTCTGACCTATAGCCGTCTTCTGTTGCCTCTGCAGACTTTCTGGTGCTATCCGTCGTCGCTTCCGGAGTCTCTTCACTCAGGATCGACGCTGACCCAGACTCCCGCCGCGTTTCCAAAAGCGGCTGAGTCCCTTCCGCGCGCCCATCGCTCGTATTAGCCCTTCCCGCAGTGCGGAGGAGTTGATTTCCCCACTCAAGGGAGACTTGAATGGCATTAGGGCCTGTCGCTATCGCACACTTCATCCCTTTGCCATGGCTACGCGGCCTAGAACGCTCGTCTCCTACCACGCCTAGGCCCGCACGTTTAATCGTTCCGTCCTCTCAGTGCTAGGACGGGTGGGCGCCATACTGCTCTTGTCCACCGACTCGGGCCGGACTCGTTTATGCGTAGGACAGTCCCGAGCATAGTGTCCCACACCGTCACACTTCTTGGAGATTTCCCACAGACGTCTGGTACGTTCCGCTTTGCTAGGGCAAACACGTGCCGGATGTCCGCGACCCTGACACTCTAAGCAGTTCGCGTGGGTTCCCCCAGGGCGATTTTCAATTTCCTGGCACCCACGAGGTCCATTAGCTTGGACGGCAGCCGTAATGGCTCGACTGGTCTTTTCTCGGAGTTCCAGCACACTCTACTTGGGCTCGTAGAGCCGTGTTGGGGCGGTCGCCGCTTGTTCCCACGACTGATATTTCACTTGTCCGTTATTCGTTATTAGAAGATGGAGGTCTGTCGGTAGTCCGGTGCAGTAATAGTCCGCGAGTTCGTCGGGGGCAAGACCCAAACCACGCTCCGCTACAGCCGCAAACCGGTCCCTGTATTCCTTCGGGTTACCATTCCACCGTACTTTAGCCAACTCCGTTGACAATTGACTCTGCGACATTGTTCTGTCAAACCGCTTCAAAAGCCTGCGCTGTACCGTCGCCCAGCCGCTTAGGTCGATAGTTCTCCGTTACACCCAATGCGTTAGAGCCGGGCCCACAAGGTGGTCTATAAGTGCATTTCCCCACTCGCGCGGTTCCAATCCCATCTGGGTGTACCGGCGCTCGATGCGCAGCAGAAAGGCCTACATAGTGCTGCCGTCTTCTGGTAGAATGGGAGTCGTTGCGCCGGATTCCACGGTCCCCCCTACAACAGTTCTTATCACACTCATTGCGGACTGGAATTGGTCCCACGTGACGAAGGGACTGTCCCCTGGCATAACATTGGTCATAGGTATCACCTGTGGGGGCGCCTCCTTATGCCCATGCGGCCGCTCTGCCACGGTGGGCTTCGGAGTCGCGTGGCGATGATGGGCTGGTGTCCCGCTCGGCATTTTGTTGACTGACATTGTAGGAGTCTCCTGGGGTGTGGGGCAGATAACGCGTCCGTTGCGGGAATGCATCGCTTACCGAGCAAAGATTTCTACGCGCGAGTTATTAAAACATAGTATTTTTACTCCCAAGTCCGGAAAGAACAAAGATTTCAATCCCGGAACAGCCCCCAAATGTAGTGCGCAGCGCCTACTGTTGCGACTACGCTGCTTCCTGCCCCTCGAGCAGGCCTACAAACTACGCCTAGCGTAGGCCCATTTCTCGGACACTGTAGCTTAATTTCATCGAAATTAAGCTACAGTGTCAAAATCTGTCCGTTCGATTCGCCCCACCCTGGGAGCTCGCCTCCTAGGCCCTATGGGGAGAAGGCCTGCACTGGTGCCGGCGCTATCGCCAGCCCCAGTCTCCACACAATTTCCACACATTTCACGTATTCATTAGAACTAATAGACAGTTTTTCTTACTTTTATCGTATTGGGAGGGTGCTGTCCTCCTCCAGTGTTGCGACCCCTTGTAGGTCCCTAGCTAGCTATTGTCTCTAGGACACTAGCCAGCCCCATTGTAGTGCCTGTGCACTACAAGTAGTTCAGCTGCAGTTCATCTCTGGATCGAACGTGTAATGCGCTTTTCTACTCTAGCCGTGCAAATGTGCTCCAAGTTGCTGCATCAGAATGCAGCGGCGACTGAATGTATAAGAGGGATAGTAGCGACTCACCTCACGCATTGATGCTATCCATATTTCTACCAATTCGCGAAAGCAGGTTGGCGCTGCTTATTTGTGGCAAAAATGACACGAGTGACGCAGGCTAGATACGCACAAGCAGTAAACAATGCCACAGGGAAGAAAGTCTGCAACCTCAAGACAAAAATGAACCAAGCCCTATTTCCCTGCACATGACAGGCATTGCTGTTGTTTTCTTGCAAAAAGCACAAATAACTGACAGGCAACGTTCCACTTGATTCAGCTGCTGACTTGATTTTGCTGCCTATTATTGCAGTAGCACTTGTCTTCCTATCAACTGGCGCCTCTGAAGTAGGACTTTATGAAGAATGCAACGTGTGTCTGGCATTACGCTGCTTGTGGAAACACCTAGTCTGCAAAATATTGGGAGCAATAGTATTTAAGGTTCAAATCAATGTGAAAACCATCAGTGTAAATCTCTAGTAGAAACACAGTAAGCTTATTCCACATTTCCAAGTCAGATGGCGGAATATTCATGAGAGTAGATGGCCCACTTAATTTTTTTACCTCGCAGGAATAGCGGCACGGACGCGCAATTTTCCTTTTATTGAATGAACAGCAAAATCATCCATGATTCTTCTGATCCCGGCAAAGACCAGTTGCTGCAAAACGTGGGTTTAGAAAACAATTACCTGCAAAGCATTTTTCTGCGACCAACGCTATGCTATAAGTATCGCCCGAAACACATCACCTTTCTCTTGAGCCACAGTCCAGCATGCATACGTTTCTGGATAGAATAGGAACCATATTTTGTAGCAACAAGATCCTTAAAGCATGAAGAAAACTACGGCAAGCACGTACAACTGTTCGAGTTGTGGCTGCGGCGAATCAAATTGGGGTCATCAATAGCGAGACCCTCTTGTGCAGGGGCAGACTGCGGACAGAAGTACAAAACCACCAAAGCCATTCAGTGTACATATGCTTCATGCTCTATACAAGGCAAAAGCTTCGGCTTCCCACTTCAAGCAGCAACAGTAGCTACAATGCAATCACAATGCTAAACTGTAGCTCAAAATTGTAATGAGAAATGCAATAAAACGACTAAAGTCAATTGCCCGCCTAAACCGGGAGAAGAAAACGCACAAGCATCTTCAACAGGCGCTCACTTCATTCAGAAGTACGTGAGTCCGCATAGCAGCGAGGACTGCATTCAACCGCATTTATTATTGAAGACTGTGCGGCTTGCGAACGAACACCCGCATTGCGGGACTTCGGCAAGAACCAAACGTTCACAATGCGTCCCAAAAGTTGATCTAGCAATGCACGCAAGGCATCAGGAGACTTCAGGCACTTACACTCTGTAAAACCGAAGACCGAAAAATAAGCTGCTCCAATAACATGAGCTTGAGTGTGATGTGTAAGTGCTGCCGGAATGGAAAGAAGTAACTATATCTCCCCCAAAATACAGCGGGCACTCCACTGCTTCTTTGCAAACATATAAAGGCATGAAGTCGGCAGAAATATGCTATCAATACGTGCGTTTACAGCCCTACGCACTTCCCGTCCTTCTCGTCTGCCCATAGGTAGGGTATGGCACGGACTGAAATTCAACACAACCACAAATCAACTAGGATACAGGCATGTAAGAGCAGACTGACCTGGAGAAATCGTCAAAAGGATGCTTTCCCCCATTGTGTTCACTTATATGACTCAGTAAATGAAATATGCACGGCAATCACGTTTGTAAAGGATTTTTCAGACCGCGACCCATATCGCACCTGCAAAAGTGCACATTTGAGCCTTCAAGCTAAACGCGGCGTCAAGGCAAATGAAGGGGCAAAAAACAAAAAGCTCGCGCAATATGTAGCACTTGACGAACGTTCTGTTTTTTGTTTTTCCAACATGTACAGATAGCTACAGCAGCTTCTCGTGCTTAACCTTCTCCTAATACGAGGTATCTCCTATAAAATGCTTAACAACCACCACGCAAATTATGTCGCCTGAGACTATTAACCAAAATGAATGGGAAAAACATAGCGCTATCGCTGAAAACGGCAGGCCTTCGGGAAGGCCAACGAAGGGTGAGGTATACGCGCAATAAATCACAACGATGAAGCGCACTTTGTTGTGCTGGATTTGCCAACCCGGCCGAATCCACGGAAAGCCCTTGAGAAGGCCTGATGTAGCAGAAACGAATTCGATAAAATTCACATTTTCTGCAAGTTCCAAGTGCAACAAAAATAGTGGTGCTGCACAGCGGGCGTTTCCAACGAGTCAATTATTAATGTTGGATTCGTTAGGTAAATGGACTGTTACGCGAGGGTATCCGCTTCGTGCTTTATGCATCAGTGCCAAAAGTGTCCAACGCGCAAGCACAGACAAAAGCACATACGCGCACACGAACGGGAGTTTTGGACTACTGAAGCTACCATCAAGCGGCGCTGCTGAACAGAGCACACCCTAATACGACACAAACCGCTTGTTGAGCTGCATGGCAAGCATTGCAGCACCACCATTCTGCTGCTGGGAAAGCAAGAGAAACACTGAATAATCATGAGCTTTGCTTCGCATAGATGTGAAAAAATGCTAGTAGCAATGCGCATAACACGGACTAAAAACGCGTACAATAAACAACGCAACTCCCTGCTATTTCCCGCCAAGCCATGACCTTTGTCAGTGACTCCTATACACGGGACATTTGTCCCCAAATACAATCCACGATCAGCACACCTGCTGTGCGATGAGCCGGGAAAGTACCGCTGGTAGTTCTACCAGGTGGTTTCTTCCAGTAACGGACGACGCATTAGTCGCACCGTTGCAGCTATCTGAATACCGGCTATATCACAAAATGCTTTTGCTTCCCCCCTGCAGCGACAACAATAGACGCTAAAAGTCTTTATGCTGCTGCGGTGAGGAAGAAGGTGAAAAGTACACCTCCTTGACGAAACACCACGAAGCCCCATTATACATAGGCTTTCGGCGTTTCCGCTACTCTGGCGAGAGTTCAGTAGCAGCTGTTGAAGCTGTGATGCGCCACGAGCTTCCAGAGCTAGTGTCTTAGTAGAACTTGGGGAATAAATCATGAACGCGAGCGCATAATGAAACAATTAGGACTCATAGAATTTCCATACAGTTTTTCCGCTGGATAAGACGCTAATTGACATATTGGTGCAAGGAATAAATTACTTTCAAAAGTCATGTAAAAGGAGAAATAAACAAAACCTGCGGCATGTTTATTCAGCATTGCCAATATGCGTAGCTCACCCTGTGAATAAAACAAATACCGATTCGATTTTGAGCTCTTGTGCCCATCCAACTTGGCCCAATTTTCTGCAGAGCTGCAAGCACGCCAGTTATCCTTGTGGAAGCTACATCTTGAAGCAGGATCCGCATGCAAAAGAGCCGCAGGCACGCGATATGTTGACGGGCACCGCGCACCGTAGGAAGCTTGTACAAATTACTCTGCACAACGCTCGATATCACCCACGTAGCGGACAAACTGCATAGCCAAAGTGACTAACCTTCAGAAATCGAACACGTGCAAGTCATTTTCTATCCTGTATTGGCAAGAGGAAAACAACCCTCTAGCAAAGAGCTACTCAAACGACTATCGCCAAAAAGAATCACCACCAGAAGAGTTCCTGCTCCACAGAAAACACGGGCTATGTTTCTTTGCATTTCCCTTCGTTTTTCTGTGCCAATGGCAGTACCATTGTTCCTCCTGAAGATAAACACTGTCCTTAGACTTTGGATACAACGTTTGATCTGCTACGTATACACGGGAGTGAGCAGTAGCTACAATGATTCTCAGGCGTTTTGACTAATGTTCGCAGCGCCCAAAGAAAAGTTCAGACCGAACAGAAATTAGTACCGCTACATCAAACAAACCACAATTCAAAAAAGATGCGTGACTCTCCTGTACAGCAGCATATGGGCTCTTGATACTACAAGACGCCCGCAGAAGAATTTGTAAGCGATCTATAAAATCTACCAAAATGGCAGCTCTGCGACGGAGCACAGAATCACATCGCAGGCAAAGTGGCAGCAGGAGTCCTACGCAGACACAAAGTGCCGAGCCGTGGAGTATGCAGTGGGCGACAAGTTCAGGCTCAGTAGCAAACGAATACCGCCTTTTAACAGTTGCCCTAAGTTCAAGCCCCGTTACCGGGTGCCCTGCGAATTTTGCTGTTGGTCTCATATGTGCTAGTCTCTATAACGTTGAGCTCTTGCTCTGACTGTCTGGTCGTAGGAAAATTAGTCCCATCGTCAGCCCTGCTCGATTGGCCTCGTACACTAAACAGTATGATGCGTGGAATCCTGTGCGCCGACCACAACTGCTTTGCGCAGGCACGCAAAAGATGGACTCTATACGTAGTTTGATGGGCCTTC